AATAAAATAGAGATAGCGTAAAAGATTCAAGGTGCTGTACGTGTTTCAGAACGAGCCGTTGTAATAACAGAGCCTATTTCAAGCGGTGGAGGGACAGCATCTGGAGGCATACCTACAAGGTTTTACAATTTCTGAATATACAAAAAAAATCATTTTCATTTAATGTTAATGTTAATTTAAATAAATAATTAAATCAGTAATTTATGAATAAAACTTAATTATTTTTATGAAATGGTGTGGTTTTGATGTTATAACACACTAGTTTGTTATAACTTCAAAAAATCACGCATGTGTTATTATTTATTTTATCCATACAGCCACTACTTATACTGACATTACTCACATGTATACATGCATATAAAATAAAAAATAACACACGCGTGAGTTTTTCAAGTTATAACAAACTAGTGTGTTATAAATTCCCTATCATATACGCTACGAGACTTTTCTGGCAGTATTTGTGCTGTAGCCGCCTCAGCCTGGTTAATAGTTTCTTGCGGAAGATCTTCCTGAATAATTTTTCTTTAAAATCTGACTTGCTGGTTAATAATTCACTATTTTATCGTTAAAAAATCGCGATTTATCTAAACGACGTCTTAATGTCAGTGCTATTTATTATTTACAAAAAAACAAAACGCACATCTATAGCTTACTTCGGGTTTCTCTTATCACCGATTCTGAACCGTCCTAACTGTGATGAGTATGCGCAGAAGGAAATATGATGACATTATTTCATTTGCGCACGCGCTGCAGAGTTTTAGGACGGTTCAGAATCGGTAATAACGAGAACCCGAACAAAGCTTATATTGCATAGTAACATAAACGCACCCTGATAATTTATTAATTCGCAACAATGAAAGTAGAACTGGTAGATCCTTTTAAATCAATTATTCTTTAGAGATTGGACATGCAACAGTTCTGCTGTTGGATAAAATTTTGTATGGCTCTCGCGTGTTATAACATATGATAGATAACACACTAGTACCATAAATAACTATTATATGCATGTATACATGTGAGTAATGTCTGCGTATAAGTAGCGGCTGTTGGATAAATAATTTTTATATTGAGTAAAAATTATTTAAATTCGAGGAAAATAATTTTATGGAAATAGATTTGTATGTCTGGAAACGTTCTAATCTCTTTTAATCTTCCTTTAATTATTGTTGATTTTTGAAGTTTTATTTTTTTTTAATTTTTATTATCCAAAATTATCATCGACTGACATTCCCCAGCCGTCTTTAAGCTTTCTTCGAACATATGAATCTAAGTGTATAAAAATATCGAAAAACGTGTTAGTAATTTATAAATGATAAAATATCTAAAAAATTACAGATAATCATACATTTACGAGAGCATTAAAAAACAAATTAATGGAATATCATAGATAAGACTCTTTTGTTCATTGTTCGTAGTGCTCTAGTTTCTCACGATCTATTGTTACATTTGTTTATGACTCTTCGTAAATGCCAATAGCTTATTGACTATAATATTTGTAAGTTGTAAATAACAATGGTAGTTAAATTATTCAAATAATGATTTTCTGACACAGTATCATGAATAGCAGGGCCGGCGGAAGGGAAATATTGAGACCGGGCGAATACCCTACCTGGCGCCCCTCCCCCCTCCCCAATAATTAACATGTTAACATAACAGCTAAGTATATTTATGCTACTTTAACAATAAAATTTCACTTAAAGGTACTTCAAAATTCTTCTCTTCGTTCAATCTTAGTCCGCGGTTGTTGTTTTTTCTATACCGGGTGCATCTTGAAAGTGACTCACCCCTATAGCTCTTTTAATTTTTTAGATAAAAAACGATATTTGGTATGTTAGTAGATATATGACATAAATTAGGATTGATTGACGTATTCAATTGTTTTTGGTCACTTTCCGTTTCAACGAAAAGCTATTGATTTTTAAATGGCTTAATTAATTTCTGGTTTATTCGATAAAAAATGACACTCTGAGTAGAATAACATATCATATGTCAACTTTTGACATTTTTGCTCAAAAAAATCGTATTTTAAATTTCAATCTAGAGTGCCATGGCTGTGTTAAAAATACTAATTTTTAAACAAGGAGCCTTGGAAAAATAGATTTGATCGTCTAATGTTTTTCGTGTCTTGTCCTGGTGGGTTAAAAAATGCCCAAATCGTATTTTTAATCATATGCCAATTTTTTCAAATGGAACAAGTGGTTCATTTGCATATTTGGAAAAAGAATTTTATACGAAAAATTTTGTACCAAACACTTGATATTTCGGGTCAAATTGTCGTTATGAACCGTATGTTACAATTTCAAATAAACCATATTATGCGAAAATGTCAAAAGTTGACATATGATATGTCATTCTATTCAGATTGTCATTTTCTATCGCATAAAGTAGAAATATACCGAGGTTGACATTTAAAAATCAAAAGTTTTATTAATTTCCGGTGAAAGAGGAAGCGATAAAAAAAATTGAATACGTTAATTAATCCTAATTTATGTCGTATACTAACGTACCAAATCTCGTTTTTTCATCTGAAAAAATAAACAAGTTATAAGAGTGAGCCAGTGTTGAGACGCACCCGGTATATATAAATGGTAAGTATAAGTGATCTTTGAAAACATTACTATTTAGTTGCAAGCAATTGCATTATTTTTCTATGAGAATTTAAGAAAAACTTCTTTTCTTTTCGCAGTCAATTATTTCGTGCAGAATCAGTATAGGTATGATCAGAGATACAGTTTTGTCGGCTTCAAAATGAGGATCAGACAGTGTTTGAGATTTGAGATGCATTCATTTGTCTTTTTTTAATGAGAATTTCTATGATTCTGCTACCATTTACCATGTATTACTACATATTCAATACTGAACAATCAAAATCACTAAAAGATTGATATTTTTCTCACTACTGTTAATAAATTAATGAGGCAAACGTACAAGCTTTTTTTTGATAATGATATCGGGATCCTATTTAGCTTCTTGCGAATTGAATTTTTGTTTCATATAAATTTAGGGCAGATCAGCCATTAACAAATAAAGGGTGTGGGTAGTAGACAAAGTGCATTTTTGAGCGGTCACTCTAAAACTGTCAATTTTGCTAGCTCTTGACCCAAAACAGTTTATTGTTGAAAAAATTAATAAAAACAAGAATTATAGAAAGAAGGGTTATTTACAAAAAAGTTGATAGCTTTTCAGTTATAAGTAAAATACCACGAACATTTTTTTTTTTAAATATTTTACTTGCTGGCGTGGCGCCCCTCACATTCGGCGCCCCGGGCGGTTGCCCGGGTCGCCCGGCCCTGATGAACAGAGTACAATCATTTCTAAAATACAGGCTAATGTTAAAATTACATCGGCATTGCAATGCAAATATGATTTCAGAAATGATATTTTGATTGAATATTTCAAAAATTGACATTTTTTAAATATTTTACTCATAGAACATTATACACAGAATGTTTTTAGAATTTCATGGATAAAATAAAAAACATTAAACATATACAGGGTGGCCCATTACAGCGCGTTCAGATGGAGCGGAGCGTCCGCGCTGTTTTTGCGCTGCTTGTTTTTTCAAGATAGCCGTCAGACGAAATCATCTGGATGGAGCATACGCGACCCATGTGAAATTGTTCATTTAAACTCATGGAACTCGCGGACGGTCAGCGAGGACGCTCCGCTCTGAAAGCGCTGTTAGTCCGAGTAAGTCCAGTGTCGTCGTTGTTGACGTAAGTACAAAAGAAGTTCTATACAATATTTGTTGCATGATTTATCAAATTGAGTATCCTTAAAATATTGTGTTGTATACAGGGTGTCATAAAAATGTAATGATGTAAGTTTGTTTCTAAATGCAACCGTACTTTTTTTGGATTGAGTATAAAATTCTGCATATGGTACTTTTCTTTGAAGGACTATGCGGTGTTGCCATGCTGCAAAAACAATATATCCGTAAAGAGGTTAAAACTTAGTGTCCTTAAATAAAGTTAACAAAATAACTACATAAAGGAAAATTCATTATCTTATGCAGGGTATTTCTTATGACTGACGTGCCTAATATAACAATATAAAAAATAATTTAAATGCAACAGAAATGGTTCTTTCTCTCAAATTTTACAAATGGCTTTTTCTTTCAATTTTAAAATATAACGCAAATTAGCTTTAGGTGGCTTTGAATTAAAATTTACTGTTGAAGAGACATCTGTTATATAATATCTCGAATATTTGGGAATGACAATAGATGATAATTTTGGCTAAGGAGGTCCAGCTATGATGACCTTTGGAAGGTTGTATTTTCTTTTTTAATATTGAGTAAAAATGATTTCTTAATAAAGTAGTTTAAAATTTGAGAATAAAATATTTTTTTGGAAAATGTCGGTCTTCCCTTTTTTAATCTCTCTATGTAGCTTGTAGACGGCAAGAGGAGGCCGGATGGATAACTCAAAAGGTACAAGGATATTTTCCACGAAAACTTAAAGGGGATTAAGAAGCAGAATGGGTGGGAAGAAGCAGCTCACAATAGAACGGAATGGAGAAGAATTGTAAACTCAGTTAACAGCGACAACCAAAAAGTAAAGAGGCAACAAAGCAATGAGATTTTTGAATGTCCGGAGTGCGGTAGACAGATAACATCATGTATCGGGATTTTCAGTCACAGAAAAGCTCATAAATGAAAACGCCTTGCGTGACCATCTTCTGATGCGTGTCAAATACTCGTCAGCGAGTATTGGCTGTATGTATGTAATACCTCTAATTAGTGTTAACTTTAACAAATTTTATGTCAGTTTTTGGTAAATGACGTCTAGAGATTGACATCGCCAAAATTATCATCGATTGCCATTCTCCATTCGTCTAGACACCGTTTTTTTATAGTTTATTGTAGAGTTTGATGAAAATTACAATGATTCAAAGAAAACGGAGGTCCACAATATTATAATAAATTGTAATTCCGTATCATTTTCTATTGTAACACCAAAAGTTCTTAATCTAAATCTCTATCTTTTAAATATACTTACCGGTGCTTCAAGAAGACCTCCAGTAAATCCAGTGAAACATAAGGCAAAAAATATATGCCAAGGCTTGTATGCATAATAGAACAGAAGAAATGCACTGAATAAGAGAACGCTTATCACCTGCATGGATCGTTTTCTACCTATCAGATGAGTTAAGATGCCTGATAAAAGACATCCCAGCGGTACAAATAAATAGTTCAAGGATCCTGAAAGAAACAAAAAATTATTAATTCTTATAGTATATTGTAGGAGAAAAGGAAGAAAAGCATAATATACTATCCTGCTATTTCTTTTCTGTCCTTTTCCTAAATATCGATTTATAAAATGTGTCATCTTGAGATATAAAAATCGAGAATACCTATAAGACAGAAAATGCCACCAAACATCTGATATACATAATTCAGGTGAAATCGAAATGAGTTACTTTTCGACTCAACATGGTTTTTTCTTTTAGAGTGCGGTCAGAATAATCCGCAAAATGCCTGTTCCGCAAAATGAATTATTTTGTCTAAGAGATATTTCCGATTGCCGCGTTTAAATTTATCCCCTGCGCATGTGACTTTGGTATATTATTATGTTCTTGTTGACTTTATGTATTTATTTTGTGATAAATTTGACTGTAAGAAATTTATATAAACTTTTTTGTTAATATAGTTTCATTTCAATGTCATTATTAAATTAAAAGAATAAAGCTGTTTGTGTGTGTCCCTGTACTGTACACACCGACGAAAATTGCAATTTTCAACTCTATGGAGCGAAATATCGATCAGATAAAAAGCTCTAAGACTTGAATCTTGAATAAGAAAATGCAAATTTTGAGTTTATATTATATCTTGAACAAGGTAACATTATGCTCAATATTGAAGGAATTGGACCGTTGTCTCTGTTCATACTATTTTCACATTTATTAATTCTGATGCTTTCATATGCATATAATTGCCTGCAATTATTTGAGACTTGTTTAATTAATTTTAAATTATTAAGATCTATACAATGTTCTTTATCAACAATATGTTCAGCAACGCAAGATTTATCCGGTCTGCCATATCTTATCTGAGCTAAATGTTCTAGTTAATATTGATCTTCTAGTTTAACATATTTCTGATTACAATCTTTACAAGAAATTTCATAAAGGTCGGGTACTTTTCAGTGGATGTGTAAAGATGTTTTACGTTTGGATACTACGCAGTGGTATTTTACAAAAAATAACTTTTTCATTTTTTATAGGTATTTCTTTTTCAGTGGCAAAATACCCAGGATTTTTTCAAGAAATGGATATAATTGTATAGATATACAGGGTGTCTCAGGCTGAGCGTGCATTAGAAGTTTCTAGAGAACCACAATATCTAGATCGGAAATTTTTTGCACATCATTGTTTTTCAACGAGATCTATCGATTAAAATATTTTCAATATGGCGGAAATTCCGGAAATACCGGAAGTTGACAGCAACTTTCTTATTTTAAATGGGTACCCCCATTTATTACATACTTAAATTCTCTGTAAAATTCTAAGAATATTGATGTTAAACACTCTCTATCATTAACCGTTTTTGAGAAAACAAATATTTAAAATTTTTGGACGAAAAAAACTACCTGTCAAAAAAATTTGTATAGCCTAAAAGTCCAATTTAGGGATTACCACTTAATAAACTTAAAAACGATTTATTTTAGGTATAGGAACATGTATAGACAAAAAGTAACGAATTGAAGAGTCTTATCACTAGTGAAATAAACAAAGTGGGTTTCCATTTGAAAAAAAATATTTATGATAATTTTTTAATCGCTCAATTCCATGACAGCTGCGGTCATTACTATATGACATTCGAACGATTTAATTTTTGAAATAGATAGCCACATATCTTCTTTTTATGGCACAGTGGCTGTGGTAATCACTAAATTTGACGTTTAGGCTATACACATACACATATTTTTGACAGGCAGTTTTTCCCGTTTAAAATATTTTAATATTTTTTTTCTCAAAAACGGTTAATGTTAGATATAGAGTATTCGATATCAATATTCATAAAATTTTACAGAGAATTTATATATGTAATAAAAAATGGGGGCACCCATTTAAAATAAGAAAGTTGCTGTCAACTTCCGGTATTTCCGGAAGTGCCACCATATTGAAAATATTTGTAATCGATAGATCTCGTTGTGAAAAAATAATGTGCAAAAAATCCGATCTAGATATTGTACTTCTCTTGAAACTTCAAATCTGACGCTCAGCCTGGGACACCCTGTAGGTATAGAGATTCTTAGTAATCTAAAGTGAGTTACGCCCACGGATTCCTGCACACCTGCTAAAAAGATCAGGCCATCCTGATTACTATTTACAATTTTATGTTTTTTGGTTCATTTTAGAACATTCCATATTATTTTATGTCTCATAGTTCATCTTTTATCTGTGCATTTCAAATAAAATATACAATGCTGTTTAATATTTTAAACAAATTTCAGTTTTCACATTGCTTAAAAGTAACTTAAATATAAAATATTAAGATCAGTTTTATTGATCATATAGATTATAAAAAGATATTGAATAGTTATTGATTAGTCTATAGTTAAAAAAAATTGTTTGAAAATATTAGTATTCACATGAACTGTCCCAATAATCCCAATTACTTGCTAAAATTTTAATAAAATATATTTACAATTACGAGGTGTTGCTATTTCTATGTCAGTATGTATAAATACTGATTTTTATTATTACTATTTATTAATATTTTTATAATAACACTTTAGATTGAAATTGTTTTTAATGGAATTTTTCGGATTTGTATATCGTTACTATTAAAATGTTATTAGTTTGATATTTCTTAGAATAATGGAATTCCATTGTTAATTTTTAGATGCCCAACAACTAATCCATCGTTTAAATTCCAGATTTTATTTCTATACATAGTAATATAATGTTAAGGTTTATAAATGAACTGTATGTTCCAAGATTTTAGATATAACGTTTTACTCTCGGTTTTACTATAAAGTTATAATAATATAAATTAAAATAAAAGCACAATCATCAATTATAAAATAAGATAAAATTGAAGTCAGAATACATCCACTTAAAATATGTCTTCTCTGATCTCCAAATGAACGAGAAAAGTGAATAATATTTTTAGTACTTTCCTTCTTATACCTATTATGAAATAATATACCGGGTATTTTTCAAGAAAAGATCATTAAACTTTTTTATTTATTTTTTTCACAGAAAAAACAATATTTTGTATTTTAGTTATATGACATAAATCAGGATTGATTGACGTATTCAATTATTTTAGGCCCCTTTCTGTTTCACCGGAAATGACTACAACTTTTGATTTTTAATGGGCACGTCTGTATTTTTTAACTTTATTTGATATAAAATGACATTCTGAGTAGAACGACTAGCATATTCAAATTTTTGGTATTTTTTCTTGAAGAAAATAGTACCTTAAATTTCAATCTTTAGTGCAATGTATGTTTCAAGTATGTGGTACCAAAGTATTTGTAAAAAATGTTTTTTTCCAAATATATTGTTTGACCAGCGGATCTGAAGCTACGGAAGGAATGCGAGAAAAAAAATCGATATTGCCACGTTTATCTATAAAATTGCAAAATTGCCAGGCATGAACTATAAATCAGCATATATTCTGACGTATATTACTAAGGAATTTGAATTGTAGTTAATATTGTTCGATATGTTTTATTTAATAACTTATTTCTTTCATTCTGTATAATCTGCTTATTATGAAAGGTGAAGATTTTTCAAGGATATCATCGGCAAGCCGGCATCGCCGCGCATGGCTGCCTATTCATCGAACATGATTGGCGAGAGTACGTCACAGGATTTGTTACCACGCGGTTGCCATGACTTTTACTAGTAGTGGGAACTATCGAATGAATACTATCGAAACATTCGATAGTTGCAATTCATTCGAATAATTCGATAGTAAGAAAACATTCGTTGAAAACTATTCGAATAAAAATTATCGAATAGATCCGTCAACTGCCTTGAAATATTGTATTCTAGTAATTCGGCAGCAAAAACCATTCATTTATAAAATTCATTCATTTATAAAATTCATTTATTCGTCAGGATCGATTATAATAAAACATTAACTGGATTTTAGTTGTCGCTCGGCATAGGTTTCTTTCCGAGAAACCCGGCAGCGGTCGGTGGCAATGCTATGAAAGAAGCCGGCATCTTTCATTTTTTGCGGAGTCAGATAAAGATAAGGACACATTATTTTTTTTATTGAGGTGTTCGTATTTACACAGAAAATACATTATGAAGGGCGCTGTTGCCATATATTGGTATTAGTTGATATTAGCAAAGAATATTATTGTTTGGCTTTAGTTAGTTAGGGATAGTATGTCTATATATTTTGCATTTTTATTATTAATATTCTGTTGTTACACTTCAATAATACTTGCTATTTTGGATGTAGGAAAATTATTTTTAATGTTTTTAAGCAAAGACTGGTTTAATAAATAATAATAACAGTAATAATTTTTTATACCTATTAACAACAAAATTTAAAATAATTTAATATAAACATTTTTTTAAGTAGTAGCAAAATATAAACAACAAATTAGATGTCAAAATTATTTATATTAGATCCTATTTAAATATAATATAGTCTCTAAATTTTTTGTGTGGCAACGTTGGTTTATTAAATAATACTAATTACAGAACTAATTTGTTATATTAACAACAAATTTTAAAATCATGAAATATAAACATTTATTAATTTTCTAAGCATGCAGTGTAATGGAAGGAAAATATTAATAAAAAATTAGAAATCAAAACTATTTATATTAGGTACTTTATATTATTATTTAAAAATAATATTTACTTTTACTGGCATTTACTTTAAAAATATAAGAGAATTGGCATAAACAAAATACAAACATCGTTATCTTTTTTTTTAAATTGGCACGTGTAAAACTTTCAATTTAATTATCTCACCCCATAGTTTGAGTTCGATAACCCCCCATTTACTTAACCACATTACTTAAATATGATTATTAAGTTCAACTAAGTCATATTATTATAACATCCAAAATACAAATATGTATTTTTAAAATTAATTGTAAGTTCATCTCATCTCTCTTAAAAATTGCTACTTCTCAAAATTTCCCATTAAAAAATAGACCATATATCATATAAAATTAAATAATTGAAAGATTGGGCTACGGAAAATCACACAAATTTTCGGAAAAA